AGGTCCTCATCCCATTTCCTAGCTATGTCATTGGTACCGATGTGTACCATAGCTTCTGGCTGCTCTCCCTCCCCCTTAAAAACCGTGAAGACTCGATCCGAGACATCCCTGACCCTGGCATCCAGGAGGCAACATACCATCCGGGTGTTCCCTTGCAGCATTCTTTGCTCTGAGGAAAACAACCCACACCTACTTAATCTCTCTTCATAGCTGAATCACTCCAGTTCAGGCAACATCCTGGTGAATGTCCTGTGCACCCTGTCCCATGCGATCACATCCTTCTATTGTGTGACAACCAGAATTGCACATAGTACTTCAGCTGAGGCCTAACTAACATCATCTGCAGCTCCATCACAACCACCCTGCTCTTGTATTCAATCTCTTGACCAATAAAGGCAAGTGTCCCATTTGTTGTCTTAATTATCTATCTATCTGTCCTGTTGCTTTCAAGGATCTATGGATAAGTACTGAGGAAACTTGGTGTGTATGTACACTAGTCCCTTATGGTATCAGGACAGGTGGATGAAGTGTTTAAGAAGGGATATGGGGTATTTCTCACTATTAGCTGAGGCATGAAGTTTAAGAGCAAAGACATTAAGCTGGAACTGTATAAAATGTTAGTTCGGCTACAGCAAGAATATTGTGTGTTGTTCTGAAATCCACATTATACGAAGAATGGGATAACACTGGAGAGGATGCAGAGGAGATTTGCCAGGATGTTGCCTGGGCTACAGAGTTTCAATTATGAAGAGAGATAGGACATATGGGGTGACAAGGTGTAGAGCTGGATGAACACAGCAGGCCAAGCAGCATCAGAGCAGGAAAGCTGACATTTTGGGTCTGGACCCTACTTTAAAACAGAGGCGGTTGAGAGGGGACATGATTGAGATGTATAAATTATGAGGGGCATAGATAGGGTATACAAGAAACTTTTCCCTTAATGGAAGGATCAATAACCAGAGGGCATAGATTTAAGGTAAGGGGCAGAAGCTTCATAGGAGATGTGAGGAAAAACATTTTCATTCAGAGGGTGGTAGGAATCTGGAACCCACTGCACATGAAGGTGGTAGAGGCAGAATCGCACATAACATTTGCAATGTTAAGGGATACAAGGCTACGAGAATGGAGCTAGAAAATGGGATTTAAAAAGGTCGCGTGGTTATTTTTGTTCAGTGTGAATGTGGTGGGCCGAAAGACCTTAGTTTTTGCTAAAACTGTACAAGGTACGAGTCATGCCGCAGCTAGAATACAGAGGAATATACTTCCCTTATCTAAAGAACGATGTACTGATATTGGAGGCAGTCCAGAGATTGTTCACTAGGTTGATATTGGGTATGGAGGGATCGTCATATGAGGAGAGGTTGAATAGATTGGACCTCTACTTGTTGGATTGGAGAATAATGAGAAGTGACATAATTGAAATATATAATAGGGATTTGACAGGGAAGTCCTTGTGGGAGAGCCAGGACCAGAGAACATGATCCCAGAATAAGAGTTTGTGCAATTAAGACAAAGATGAGGAGGATTTGCTTCTCTGAGGGTAATGAATTTATGTAATTCTTTACCTCAGAGGACTGTTGATGCTGGATCATTAAGTATATTTAAGGCTGAGATAGATTTTTAATCTGTGAGGGAATCAAGGGTTATGGGGAAAAGGCAGGCAGGTGGAGTTGAGGATTATCAGATCAGCTGTGATTTCAATGATTGGCAGAACAAAATTGTCCACGTCTGGTCTTACATTTAAGAAACCCTGTGACTCAATGTCAAAATGGCTTCTTTTGTAATCTTCCTTTCTCAAAGCCCATTACCATGGCAACGTGAATCGCACGGGCCTTGTATCCAGCTACAAGTGCTGCCATGTTAAGTGCCCAACCGTCATTTATCTCGGAAATGAATAGAGAGCTTAAAGCACAACTGTCTACAATTCAAAATTTTCAACATCTTTTTGGAACTTGAGATTCATTCTCCATCCACTATTAGCTCGCAGACTATTGCCATTGTCTTAAAGTGTAAACACCTTCTTCTCAGTGAAACAATCTGTTCTTTCATTATGAACACACAAGCTTGTTGTCAAGCAGACTTCAGGAAAGATCACATGAGCTGTTCATTTTGCCCCAAATTAAAGACAGTCCCAAAACATAACAACAAATAAATTGTAATAGTATCTTGTGGAGGCAACGCATACTTGGAAGTTGATTTGAGGTAAAATATGTTTATCAGTCTTTGCATCAGGTTCAGATTACTACCCAGAAACAATACTGTTTTAAATTTAAGTGTTGGGAATGGAAGTTTTTAAAAATTGTGTTCCATTTGATAAGTCTAAAGCCATTAAAATTAAATGAAACAACTTATTCTGTTTTGCACCTTCAGTTTTGCACTTCACAGCAATTTCAAGATGGAAAGACTACTTATTATGTAAATAAAATTGATACAGCTCCAACTGTAATAGAAAGAACAGAATTTCCAATGAAGTAGACCTTTGTTCTCAAATGCATCTTAAATCATTGGGCACTGTTAGTAATATAGTGTGAGTATTTGATACTGAATTTAAGTCATATGGTTTAAGATTTTCTCAATTTATATTGCTTCAGTTACATGATTTAATAAGATACACAACTGTTAAGTGAGTCTGTCAAGGCATGGACAGTAGGAAACCTGAATTTATGAATGACTAATGTTTTGAAATACTAAGAGTTATACCTACATCAATATTTGTACGTTGCTATATAAACGTAATTTTAGATTTTGGTTCCTGTCTTATCAGGTAAGTATTACGTTTTTATGGCACTGTATCATGTATCTCAAATGTTCCAAAGTGCTCAACATAAATTAGTTACTTTCAACTGCAGCAAATGTTACGCAGGCACATATGACTACCAAGCAAGATTCCACAAACAGCAACAGCAACACACAGGATAAGTGGCCAGTGAAATAAGAACAGAACATTCTGGAAGTATTTGGCAGACGTGGCAGAACATGTAGTGAGAGAAACAGAATTAGCATTTCAGGTTGATGATCTATTATCAGAAGCAGAGTGGCCAGTGAATGGGCTTTTTGGTGGTGTTTGAGGTAGGGATGCATCAGATCTCCCTGTGTGTCTTTGAACAGTGGCATTTAGTTTGCACCTGGAACAAAATGATGCAGATGGAACATTATCTTGATATCTCATTTCAGGGATAGTGTCTCTAATCATACCGTTGTCAGCCTAGATTTGTGGTTAATTCGTAGGTTTGAACTAGAATTTCAGAAGGATATAATGGTTGTGAAACTTTTAAACTTTGTCTCAAACTATAAAAACATCCAATGGTAGAATTTTAGATTTCTTCTCATTTTGAATGGTGTCTAGAGAGAACATTTTGAGCTTATAATGTTTGTGCTGTTTCTTGCCTGGAGGACAAAGGAGTTTTCTCTTGCCACCCTTTGTGGTTCAATTAAAATATTCCACACTCTCCCAAAGGCACAGGTATCTTTTGGCTTTACAGTTGCAATTGTATAACAGTGGACGGTGTTAATATTCCAGTAAAAGGAAAGGCTGTAAATCCTGGGAATATGTAGAGAAGTAAGAATCTGCTAGAACATGTAGCTATGATCCAGAGGCTTCAAATTGATAAGTTGAATAAAACACGTTTGCATCCTGCTTCAACCAACTTAAAATTGATTTAATTAGCAGATTGAATGAGGAAAAACCTCTCTTTAGCACGTTTCATTGGAAGATTGGTTCTGGTGTTGAGCTCCGATCAGAATCAAGCGGTAGAACGAATAATTTGAACGGATTTTAAAGGTTTTTTGTCCTGTTCTTTAACGGAATCCACAGAAATTCGTTAGTTATCAATTGAGCCACAATTCATTGTCCAAGGACGCGTCAAAACAACCAAGAAATTATGAGTGAAGCCCTCTGCGCCGACCTTTCTCAGTATTCGTTAGTACTTTACCCTATATTTATTTTAAATACGATTTTTGTCACAAACTTCGATAATATGGAGCGCGTTGCGGATTTTTAAAAGGCTGTTAATGAGTTTCTGTTCAGATTCTTGTCTTTTTCGGTAAAGAAGTAGTTTAAATCAGATCTGATCTTGAAAGAAACTACTCCATTTCTAAAAACGATGGACACAGTTCTTCACACCCTACATTTGGCATACCTAAGTCACAGTCCGAAAAACTTCCATAGGGAGCTGGTGTAACTATGGTCGGACAAGGGGGTCTATGCACCAATTCTTAATTGCTCACGTCAAGATCTTCATTGTAAGTATCACTTTTTTCTCATACACTGAACATGTGAGAAAGTTCTCATTTCCAAGTAACTACTAAATTATTGCCCGCAGTTTAGCGTGCAGTCTTTCAAACGACTGTATGTTTTACAGCATCTTAAATTGTTTGCCAAACAATAAACAAGATGCCGCCGAAGCTGAAATAGCTGTATTATCAAAAATTCAGTAGGACGGAATTGTCTAGATTGAAGTTTCATTACATATCGCTACCGTATGTATACTAAGGCTGCCAACGATAACTAATTTTAACACTTTTTTTAGCAAAATGGGTTGCTAGGGTAGTTCAGCTTCTTCGAAAAAAAGTTTCCCGACAATGACACTTTGAACTAAATAAGAGGAAATACTGAGCAGGTTAGGCAGTTTCTGTAGCCAGAGACATAGCTAACTTTCCAGATCAATGATAATGTGACTAGTTGAACTTTTCAAAGAAAAAAGGATTCCGACTTGACTTATTTATGTACAAGTGCTTGTAAAGGAGGGGGATTATTGTTGCAGATTGTGGAGCAGACCCTGTCAATCACACTCCCGTTGACCCATCTGTTAACAGGACGGGGGTGGGGCCTTCACATACAAACGCGGCTTTCTCGGCGGTGGGGGTGATGAGTGGCAGTTGTTGCGCCGCGCCCCCTTCCCCAGGGCGTTGTGGCGATTGGGCAGGCGGTGTGTGGGAAAAAGCCTGGTTCTGAGTGGGGATCGTGGAACGTCACGAGACGTCATCATATGCTCCCGCCCCCTGGCCAGTCGACGGGCCTGTAAGGTGGCCCATGGGGAAGGGGGAGGGGAAATGTGCGGATAACAACAATAAGGGCAAGAGCAGCTGTTGGCAACAAACGAGCAGTCAGGTCAGAGAGAGAGAGAAAGACAGGCTGGCAAAAGCTCCTGTAGTACCGCGGCAGCCACCATTTCTACAGTCACGGAAAGATCCAAGTGTGTTTACTTTGCTTTCAAGAAAAGGATCAAGTGTAGGGGAAGAAGTCGCGACACTTTCCTTCCTGTACCGTATCTTTTCCCAAAAAATAGTTTGTTTTTTTTTTCTTTCGCCGACGGGAAGGATCGAAGTGTTTTGCACCAACTGGAAGACCAAGGGAGGGCGATCGAGAACCGTCCGTTTCCACCCGCACCCCCCACCACGCGGCTCGCGCTGCAGGAAACAGCCTGAGGGCGGGGCTTGGTCACGTGGGCGATCATATGCGCACCCTCCACTGGCGGAGGCTCGTTGTGTGCGCGCGCTGTAGCGTAGTGGGTGAGCGGGTGAGGTAGATGCTTACCACATTCCTCAACAAGTGGGGCGTCTTTAACCTCTCCTAGCCCTTCTCCTTTGAGGAGTGTATTGCATTGTAACGGTGGTGCCAGCAGATTTAATACTTTCTTCAGAAGTGATCTCGATAAATGCTTGATACGAGTTTAATAGGGGGAGAAAACAAGTGACGGGGATAGGCTAAATAAAATAGTTCGAAGTTCTTTCAAACTATATCTGCTCCCAAATTCTATGAACTACCCAGGTAAAAATGAATCTGTTCCGCAGTCATGTGCACCGAGATTTTCCACCTCTTATGATGGAGAAAGGACTCGTTAAATCTTGGACGTATTTACTTTTGATCATATCCGAAAGTCTGCTGTTTAAGTTTTCGTAGTGCTGATACAGTCAAGAGATAGTTTAAAAAGCATTGTTCAAAGTACAGGTTAAATGTGTTGAAATATTGTTAACATGAGCATGTTAGTTTCAATAATGTGAACTTTTGAAAAAAAATAGTTTGTGAATTTGCTTTTAATTTATCAAGGAGCACTTGTAAATAATTCTTCCTTCATAATTTATCTTAGGAAAATTGTTTCGGTTGCACAAACATTTTTGTTTTAAAAAGGCGTGTATTAGTTCAGAGGTTTTTGTAGATGAATCACGTTGTTTTTTGAAAACTACCTTGGAAAGTTCTTGCCCAGCAAAAGTTTGTCAGCGTTTTGACATTTTTCATTTTACTGCTGGTTTCTTCAACTTTTTGGGAGTAGGAATTCCAGGTTTTCACTGAGCCTTGAACGATCCCAGTTGTAGTTTTGCAGTTGTGCCTCCGTTGTTCTAGAACTCTCCCACTTGTAGAAATAGTCCTTTTAAATTTCAGACTCAAATGGTACGAATTTTGAAGAAATCTGTTAGTCAATTCATATTTGGAGCTATAATTAGAGGGGAGACAAATTAAAAAATTTTGACTGTTTGATTACTGCAATAACCTTCAAAATATTGTTCTGTGTCTTAATTGGATTTGCTGAATGTAGTTTTTACAGATGGAAACATGTACAACTGTTATAAATCCAGGCAAAAATGGAACCATGGAATTTTACGGGGGAGAGAGACCATTCTGCCCATTGTCTCTGTACTGGTTTCGAAATGAATGAGTCCCAGCTAGTCCCAAACTCTAGCCCTCTAAATTCATCACTTTCAAATACATTTTTGATATTCAAATATATATCTTTTGAAACCTTGTATGGAAACAGCCTTTGCCACTCTCTCATACAGTGCATTCCAAATTCTAACAGCTGAGTGTTTTTCCTTGTCCCTCTCCTAGCTCTGCTGACAATTTTACTAGTGGAAACAGAATTTCTTTGTTACCCTGTTAAATTTGTTCATCATTTTGAGCACCTCAGTAAGATTACCTCCTAATCATCTTGTGCTCAAAGGAGAATAAGCCTGATTTTTCTGATCTTTCCTTGCACCCAAAATCCTCATTCTTGGTATCATTTTAATAAATTTCCTATGCATTCTCTCCAAGGCTTTAACATCACTCCTTTTTAAATAAGGTGCCTGGAACTAAACACAATACTTGAATGTGGCCTGACCAATGATTTGTAGAGGTCTAGCATCACTTCCTTGCTTTTATACTCTATTCATAAACCCAAGAATCCTATAAGCTGCCTTGCCTGTGCCTGGCCTCATTCACATTTGAACCTGAGGTCCCTCGGCTCCTGTACTGAGTTGTATCATTGAACCTGGATTATTTCTCCATGTTACTTCTAACAAAATGTGTTACGTTGCTTTTCTCTGTATTGAAATTCATCTATTAGATGTACACTTCTTCATCAGATCATGGTACATCTGATCATCCTAAACTCTACTCTGCTGCCCTACCTTCATAACTCTTGCTGATGAAGAATCTGTCTGTCTCAGCCTTGTCTATACTTAATGGCTTAGCTTCAACATTTTCTCTGAGTAAAGAATTCCACTGATCCACTACCCTCAGAAGAAATTCCTCCTCATTTCTGTCATAAAGGGATAACCCCCTTACACTGAGATTATGCCATCTGGTCCTAGATTCTCCTACAAAGAGTAACAAGCTTTCTGCATCTACCCTGTCAAGTCTGTTAAGAAGCTTTTATCTCTTTAAAAGATTGCTTCTAAACGTAAGAGTACAGAATCTGCTCAACCTTTCATAAGACAGCTCTTAATGTCTGGGATCAACATAGTGAACTTACTCTGGACTGCCTCTGGTGCTCATACGTTTTCTTAGATAAGGGGTGCAAAACTTTGACAGTTCTCCAGCTGTGGTCCTGACTAGTGTCTTGTAGTTTTAGCCAGACCTCCCTAATTTTCTACTTCCCTTTTGAAATAAAGGCCAAAGCTTTTTCAGCACAGTGATGCTCGACCATTAATGACTTTCCTGTTGTTACATGCCTGGCTGCTTTTCCTTTAGGCTTGTGGATGTATTCTATTCAAGTAGACGGTTTGAAGTTGATTGCAGATCAGCATGATTTAGTTATTTTACAGTGCCATGTGGAATGGTGTTTCATTGCTTCAGCACAAGATGCCTGCCTTTGGTGTGATTTCAAGCCTTGGAATCTTGTAGCACGGAAATAAGCTATTAGTCTATAGTGTTCTCCAGTTTTTTGAATTGTAACAGTCCACTGCTCTTCTCCCTCCTTTTTCAAGTATTTATTCAATTTCCTTTTGAAAGCTGCTATTAAATCTCCCTACTAATTGCTCAGACAGGATACCCTTGAGAGGTGCTCAACTTTTGCTGATGTGTAAATCTGTCTAGCTTCTCCCCCCTCCCCCACCCCCCACCGAAAGTAGTCTCACCTCATTACCTCAATCCGATCTCATTATTTTAAGCACCTGTTAACTCTCTCCTTAACATTCTTTAAGAAAAATACCTGTCTCAATCTTTCCATTAGCCAAAATCTCCCATCCTGAATAAATTTGATTAGAATTTCATACTTTCAACAGTGAAAATTCTGTCTGTCTGTCTGCATTTGAAGTTGATTATCAGTTGTAAGGTTAACAAAGGCATTAAGAACAGTTATGTCCAGCAGCTCAATTTTAGAAATGCATCAGGAATACTTGCAAGTCATATATTTAAAAATTAACATGTAAGAAAATATAACAAATAGGCAGGCAACTTAACTGAATAGATGCAATGCCTTGAAGTTAATTTTGTGTACCTGAGATATTTTTGTGTTGATGATGAGTTTGTGCTTTATAGGGAACAATTCTAGAATCATCTTAGCAAAGCCTAAATTAAGCATTATTTTATGTCAAGTGATGACTTCAAATATTTGGCAGTGTCAGTCTTTTCTTTGTTACTCATCTGTTCTGTAGGGGCAATATCTTTATTGCAGTGGGATTGTTGGGGCAGCACTGTATGGCTACAATGGCTCCTGCTCTCACTGAAACGGCCACAGAGCCACATGGATTCCAGCTGTCGTCATCCTCCTTATCTTCCAGTTCCATTGAACCTGACGCATTCTTCCATGAAGAAGACACCATTACAGAGCAGAAGTTGAATGGGGAGTGCCACACACAATCTGCATGGTCTCAACTTGTGTATCCGTTTGCAACACGTGGGCTTGGCAGTGATGCAACTGAAACAAAACATGTACCTTATCGATCTGGAACTGTGCATTGTGCAATTCCAAACAACTTGTTAACAGCTCCTGATTCTCTACTGGGCATACTGTCTTTTAACTGTAATCTAAATAATAGGAAGACATTGTTTAGCAAAAGCTCTGCTGTCATTCTTGCCAAAAAATTATCTTGTGATAGAACTAAGCAAACACCTGCTTCTAAAGCTAGCAAAATGTATTTTGTACCTGAAACAGAATTAAGTAGTAATAATAATGGCACAAAAGAATTAAACTCCCAGAAATACAATGCTTTGGAGTGTATGGACATATTAACCACTGCTCATCAGGTGACATTAGCCTGTGATTCCCTTTCAATGACCCTTAATGATCCTGGTGGAATAACTACAAATCAAAAAGCCATGTTGAAACCAACCAAAGGAAACAAAACTTGGGATGCAGTACCAGCACAGGATGATATTCAGTTTGAAAATTTATTGAATAGTGCCAGGCAACCGACCCTGCAGAGAAACCAGGAGAAACAACTCTGTAATTCCATGAAAATAAGGAAAATTGAAGGTAATACTGAGCTGCATGAGTGCCTTGGCAGGCAGCAAGAACTAACTAAAAAGGCTAGCCTGCTTAAAAAACGTCTACAGCTCATCCAGGCAAAGCATGTTGAGCACCAAGTTAAGTGCAAAATTCAAGAGTTTATAAAGTGCCAGCATGAAGGGCAGGCAGAAAGATGCAAAATCAACAGTTCAAATACTGAGTCCGTCTTTCCTAGTGGAATAAAACACAGTGGTGGTGTGCAGACTGGATTCATTTCAACGTCAATCAACTCTGAACTCTTTGAAGATGCATGCTTTTCAAAAGCATTGCTTTCACACATTGAAGAAAGTGTGGATTCCGATGCAACTAGCAGTAGCACTGATGAGGATTCAGACAGCGAAGAGATTGCACTGAATAGGAATATGCCATTGTAAGTAGAATTGTTAACACTGTCATTTTAGTCATCAGTTCTATCTGACTGAATTAGATGCAAATCAAAACGGAAGCATGTGTCCTTGATGAAATTTTTAAAAATTTTCTTCCATAAGTTCCCTGGGAACGGGGAAGGCTCCTGTAAATCGGGTCGCTTCGACCGAATGTAATGGTTTTCATAAGGCATTTACACATTAAAAACAAAAAAAAACTTGTGAACATTTTATGAACTTTGAGTTATTGATTCATTGTAGTACAGGTTCTATTATCAGCTTTTAGTTTCAGCAGAATAGGGTACTTTCCAGGATTGATTTAGGATATCTATATTTCTATGATATACAGTCATGGAGCTAAGCAAAATTGGTTAGTGTAATTCTGTGGATACGCTAGGTGTAACCCCCCCTCAAATAGACTGCTGTCATTCACAAAGACCACTGCCAGCTCAGTTGCAATTGGGAATGGGCAATCAATGCTAGTCTGGATAGTGATACCCATATCTGGAAAAAGTGAATTGGCTAAAATTGCTTTGAAGTCTAAAGGAATGGAAAGTAGCTTTTCTTTTAATTGATTTAGGAACTCGTATTTAAATAAGTACCATGTTCCTCCATGATTTAGTTACCAGAACCTTTGTGATACTGCTGAGCATCCACTTAATGATAACTCCATAGTTGAGTCCTGGATGTGGTGGACAATAGTGAGGCTCTCTCAGAAAAGCTGTTTGCGTTTTGAAGCTTAACATCATGTGATTGTCTGTCTGCAGTGTGGTTTCAAGTAAAGTTTGAATAATGTTCAGGTGCTTATTTTAATCTAAGTGCTTGAATAGTGTAACTTCCATGTTTTGTTAAAAGTGGAATGGTGCATATGAGTTAGTTGATAGGAAATCACTATAATTGTATTCCGTGACATAAATTGACATGAATCTGGTAATTGCTCAGTAATATGATAGTTATTATACAGTTTTGTCTAGCTGTTAACATAAAATAATCCCTCCTAACTAGGTAAAATTCAACCATTTACTCTACATACTTGATTCTAGTTTGATTGTAGACTATAATTGCACACCAGGAAGTGATTTTTCTGACTTCTGTGTAAAGATCCTATGACATTATATGTAGTAATTTGTGAAGCAGAAATTATTGGAAACAGATGAGCAATTTTAAAAAGAACAGAAGAAAGCTGTCATTCTTGTGTGCATTCTCTCTTCCCATTCCTCCTCGTGTTTAAATGCTGTGTCTGTAATGCTATTGACTAAAATATATAAATTTTGTATTCTCCCTGTAAACTTGTTCAGATTTGAGGTCTTAGCTACATTTATATCCTAAAATTATGTCTAATCAATGTTCACAGAAGTCCCTCTTGTTATATTTCTGCCCACTTGTAGATGGTGTGACAGCAGAAATTAATGCATGTTGTTAATAGAAACCAGCTGCAAGAAAGGCTGAAAGAATGATGGTATGCTCTGACCATGCCAGGTCATGGGTGAGCAGCAGCTTCTTAAATGAAAACATTAGATAACACTTTAGATTAGTACATTGAATCTATATTGTACTTTGGTCAGGAAGCACCTTGAATTCTGCTTTGAAATCTTTCTTGAGAGATCAAGAAAACATTGGGCTTATAACTGTGAAGAGGACTGAATGATGAGGAAAAGTCTGAATTTTTCCACCATTAGTGAAGGTGAATGATTATACTTTTTTGTTCCATTCTAGTGTTCACTACTTTAATGTGTAGACACTGAGTTAAATGGAAGGCTTAAATCCTCAATTAAAATCAGGATAACAAAATTGGGTGCAAACTGGTAAAATAAAATTGTGGTTTGTCTTCATGGAGTGATCAGTTTCTGGGATAGTACTGGCTATGGTAGTTATGGCAAAAATCCTGGATTAGTTTGCACTGTTTGGATCCAAAATATTGGTGGGAATTGACATTTTTATGGAGCAGAAAGGTAAAGTACCACCTCATTGTTCATTGTTTGAGTTTTCCAACCATGTAACCTGATTGCATTCACACTCCCTTTCACTGGTGTAGTTTTGAAAGAAGGATTATCATTGCACTGACTCTTCAGTCCCAGTCTGCAGTTAGCTTCTGTATGTAGTTTGATACCCTCCAGGTAAGTGCACAGTCACCACTTGAAACACAATAGTTGGATTTGCCATTCCATTCAATGCTCAGTGAACCTTGTAGAATCCCTACAGTGTGGAAGTAGGCCATTTGACCCATTGTGTCTACGTTGATCCTCTGAAGAGCATCCCACCCAGACCAACGGGCAAAATTACTCCAGGTAAATGCCTTGAAGCTTAACTTTGGGAAGTTGATATAAATTGCTACACTGTTTATTGGAGTTAATTTTTTGTCTTCTTTCTGTAAAGTATATCAGTAAAAGCATTTTGGAAGAATAAACCATAAGTGTTTAGGATGTCAGTGTACAAAGAGATTTTGAACTTTCTTTTCTTTCTAAAGTGCCTGCTGTCAGTCAGGTCATTTAAGGAACATTGAAATTCAATGTCAGAGGCAGTCTTGAGCCTTTTATTGAATAACAGTTTTAATTGAGTTGATAATTTAGAGACTTTGCAATGATTCTAAAGTTTGGCAGTAATACAGATTTTAAAAAATGAGAATGAACAGAATGAATGTGCGATCTTTATAGATTATGGAAATAAACTGAGTTGAAGGTCCCCTCTGTCTGTCTCAGTCTTGCTGTCTCTGTGCTGCCTTTGACTGGCTGGCTCGCGCTGTGATTTTTCAGACTTTTGTTTTCCTTTTACCCTTCCACTTATTGAAGCAATGCCTATTGTGGTGCTTCCCAAACTTCTCCTGTTACTTTTTTGAGACTTAAGTTGTCACCACCTCTAATTGTGAATGGAGGGTAAGGGTTATGAGTGGGCCTATGAAATATGGGCCCGGTTAGCGCTGGAGCATAGCTCTTAGAATTCAGTCAGAGTTCCATGTTGGCCATTGGTCCCCACTTTGGGTTCTACACTAACTTTGGGAACCCCTGACTTTTTGTTTGTTCAGAAATTGCCTACACTAATACTCAACTTGAGTAGCAGATTGGTTTGTCTTTGTCTTGCTGGTCCTGTTGCAAATCACCATGTACTTTTAAAACCAGGTTCAAGGAACATGAACAGTTTGCTTCAAAAACCAAACCTGAAACTTAATGAAATTCTTCCTCTGCTTAACTGGTAACTGAAGCTGGTGTGTGAAATGAGGAGTTTGGTTATAACTGTTAGCTGCTTATTTGTAGAAGTGTAGCAGAATTATAGCCATATTCTCTTTACTAATACAGTGCGAACTTGATCTACAAACAAGCCATATATGGCTTTTGCAACTTACTATACTTCCTTCTTGAAGTATCTCTGAGCATTTGTGTATGTTTCTCCCCTGACTCTTTTTATTTTTCAGAGTTAATTGGTGAACATTAAGTGCTTGTGCTATCTGTTTTACTAATACATTATCTTGCTACCAGATTGGCTTATGAATAAGCAGATGTAGAGGAAAACAACAAGTGAAATGTGAAAAAGCCACATTTGGCATTATGACAGCTATCAAACAAAATCTTTCACGATGCTTTAATTTGTCCATCGTGAAGAATCATAGAACAGTTCAGATCGTAGATCATAGAATCCCTACAGTGTGGAAACAGGCCCTTCAGCCCAACTAGTCCACAACACCCCTCAGAGCATCCCACCCAGACCCGTCCCCCTAATCTACAGATCCCTGGACGTTATGGGCAATGTAGCATGACCAATCCACCTAGCCTGCACATCTTTGGACTGTGGGAGGAAACCCACGCAGACACGGGGAGAATGTGCAAACTCCATACAGACAGTCGCCTGAGTGTGGAATTGAACGCTGCACATCCTTCCTGTGCTGTCGCGATGGGAATTGAATGCAATACTCTTAAATGTGGCCTACTCAAAGTCTTATAAAGCTGCAACATGACATCCTGACTCTTATACTCAGGCCATATGCCTTCTTTACCACCCTATTTAAACATGTGGTCACTTTCAAGGAATTATGGACTTGAACTCCAAGATCCCTCTGTACATCAGTGCTGTTCAGAGCATTGAGAAAAGTGGAAAAAAAAACAGTATTTCTCTCTTTACAGATGCAATCAAAAATGTTTCAGCATCTAAATTATGCATAGTATTTCTGTATATTGATAATGATCTTATGATCTTACAGGATGACAATTTAAAATTACATCGTGAAGCAATACAAATTCAGTGTAGACCAGGATGGTAAGTTGTTAAATCGGTCAATAAGGAATTATAAACCATTTTGTTTTACAGTAAGTACAGGTCCGAGAAGAGATGGACCCTTGATCGTGCTGAAGTTGCAAGCCGGTGGACATGGCTTCAAGCCCAGATATCAGAGCTAGAGTTTAGGATACGACAAATAAACGAAATCTACAAGCACATACGTGTTGCAAAGGTGAAATAGAGAGCCAGCGGAAATAAATTTTAAAAAGCAAATGTTTAACGTATCTAAGCCAGCCAACCTGAGAACATTAACCCATTTTGTATGGGTTATTGTACAAATCTGTGTTCTGTAATTTAAAGCTTGGCATCACCAGCTGTGTATTTTTTACATTCAGCCAATTTTTTTTAAGATTAAATACTTAGGTACCAGTGTAACAGCTTAGAGTGAAACTCCCTTCATGAGTCCTAACAATTTGCATCTGACTTTATAGTTGTGTGCACTACTATTCAGTTACGTTGCAGTTGGAATTTTTTTTGATGTTCCCCTTCACTCCTGAACCAGAAGAGAGAACCCTTCAGGGCTTTTACTACTACTCATCACCCAGTCATTCCTGTTGGAAAATGTGACTGAGACCGTTGTCTGAGAACAAGATGGGGCCTGAAATATGTCATCTTTTGTCACACCTTATCTGGAACACACAAGTAGGCCGATCACTTGGCCACTTGTAACCTGCAATATTTTCAGTTTATGTAATCAACCATTCCATCATGAGGGTATTTCATCTTTCAGAACAAGGTTTTGAAGGTTTCCTTTCATTAATTAGAAAAGTAACTCATTTGAAGCAATGTTTCCTAACTCCAATCATTTTGTTTGATTGCTGTCTAGGAAACAGTGACTCTGGGCGATTCTCAGTGTTCCGGAGACTCTCCCAAAAAGCAGATGGAGTTGACAGAAACGGCAGCTTTATTAGCTGCAGCCGATGATAATAAAACGCCTGTGGAGATAAAGGATTCAACTCTGGAATGCAGTTTGGAAATATCACCAAGCAGCCCTTTGCTGCTTCTAAGGAATATAGATAAACAGGTAGAAAACAAAAAGTTAAAGCTGTAATCTGTTGATAGCTGGAACTGCCAGTAATGTTATAGTCTCTATTATACAAAAGCATGCAAAATAATTGAAATGAAGAGACTAACTTTTGTAAGATTGTCTTCAGGTTACATCATTGCTTAAGGATAGTTCGAGGGGGAATATGCTGCACTGGTATTTGCTTCACGTGCAGAATCATACTCTGAGTTTAAAAGCATTATTTATTAATTGTCTGCAGAGTGCGCAGCTAACGGAATCAGTAAACAGTTTGATCCCTCCGCTCAATTTATCACCTGCTTCTTCTCCTGTCTCTTGTAAGACATACAAACATCCTGGTAGCTTTTTCTACAGGTAAGAATGTTTGTTTGTTAATTTACCTCTGTTTCACTCTCAGTGATCACTTGTGCATTTCCTAGTTAGGAATGTGATTCGCAAGTAGTTGCTTTCTTTGGCAAAACCATGACATTTATTGTTACAAAAGTAATTTTAATTAAATGTTCCTCTATAGAATTACTGATCCATGCAAACCAGTTTAAAAACTGTTTGGGTGTTAGATTAATTCTTTGTAGGAGGTCAAAAATGCATGCGCTTGATAGAAAACAATGAGCTTGTGAGATTACAACTTCAAAGTCATTCAATCTATCCACGATGGTCCCAGATCCTCTTGGCTGATACTTAATTTTAGAATGGGTGCGTTTTTGAGGCTTCTGTCTTATTGTCCTGCCTAGAACAATGTGATTGTGATTGAAAGTTTTGTAGTCAAGACAGCTGTTGAAGAACCTTCCTGGAAGATTTGTGAAGTTTAGTTATGTGCAGTTAATCTTGGAGAACAGATCTATCGATCAAACCTGTATTTGTAATTTTTATATCAATCAGTATGAAGGAAATGGAAATGGGACATTTGGAAAATCAATAAGTTGAGGCAGTTTTAACACAATTTTATGAACAAGAATTTATGCATGGCAAATAAGAGCAAAGAGTATGGTACAGTGCAAGAGGGAGGAAACACATAAAGACAGAAATGGAGAAAATGTGTAAACTCCACGCAGACGGTCAAGCAAGGCTGAAATTGAACTCCTGGCTCCCCTGGTGCTGTGAGGCAGCAGTGTCAATCACTGTATCTCTATGCTGCCCTGAGTCCCCAAGTAATTGATACATGTACCCTGGGAGAAAGACTTCATCTATCCATTCCTCTTATAATTTGTAAACGTTTATCAGGTCACTCATCTTCAAGTGAAGACAAACTAACAATGTCCACTCTCTCATCACAGCTCACACCCTCCAAACCAGACAACATTCTGGTAAACCTTTTCTGCACCCTTTCCAAAGCCTTCACATCCTTCAGGTAGTGAGGCTACCAGAACTGTAGGCAAATTTCAAATATGGTCTTATTAAAGTTCCATACAGCTGCAACATGACTTGTCAATTTTTGTACACTATGCCCCAACAGAAGAAGGTAAGTATGCTTTATTTGATCATCTTCTCCCTTGTGTTGCCACTTTCGGGGAACTGTGGACCTGAATGCCTGGATTCCTCTGTATGTTAATGCTTCTAAGATTTTTTGCGGTTTAATGTATGCTTCCCTCCTACTTTACACCTTCCAAAATGCGTCACCTAGCATTTATCTGGATTAAATGCAGTCAGCCATTTCTACATCCAAATCTCCTGCCTACACTCTTCACGTAAATCACATTTTCAAGTTTAGCCATCTGCATATTTGAAATTTTGTGCCCTGAACATTCAGGTGTTGATAATTATACAAGTGCATCTACGTTACCAGCCTTGTACCCCTCAAACTGCCTTATCTTAAGGAACTAAAACTTCCTTGTGCATCATTTTCTGTGTTCACTAGTGTATGTGCTGCCAGGAATAATGTAGAAATTGTACCTTTTGAGGTCTCACTAGTCTCCTAGCTAGCACCCTAAATCTGTCTGCTGAACTTCATCCTTTCTGTACCTAAATAGTTAGTGCTGTGCTGTGGTTCAATTAAGTCCTTGGTTCTAACACTGGAGACAAGAAACTATCCTGGTTTCAAGCCTGCAGCTGCAGATAGATCTGTTTGTTACTATTATCAGTCCCTATTTCCCAGTCTTTCTGCTGCCTTATACTGTGAATCATCCATGATGCTGTGGACTTTGCTCTGTCTGCACTCCCCAGATCAAGAATCGTTTTCACTGTATTCTGGTGAGAAATCATTGCCAAGGTTCAGGATGTCTGCTCAGAACTGGAGAGGAACCTATTGTAGAAGTGGGAAGATTCAGTTGTCATGATCAATGTTGACTACCTATGATGTAGGTAAGAATAGGAAAGAGGTTTCAATAGTGCCTAGGTCTTCATGCTGCCTAACGTAGAAAGGTGAACTTCAAAGATGATGAACTCTGCATCATTACTTGAACCAGGTGCAAAATGGCATAGATTAAAGATGATTAGATAATTGAATGGGTTGTTGCAAATCATGGCATAAGGAAAGTGTGTTCTAATTGGTGGGGCACCGGCACTAGGAATGCAGATGGTGCAGATATTTTCTAATCGGCATGTTCAAAGATATTACATACCTCTGGAACAGGTGGAAGTTGAAACCAGGCCAATTCGCTCAGAGGTGGGGACATTACCCCTTTTATTGCCACCACAAGAACCCTTATGAGGATAGTGGAGATAATGTTACATGCCTCAGGAGCTGATGGGACTTGAACTCAGGCCTCTTTGGTTTAGATATAGGGACACTGATAGATCCACGGCATCTTGTGCTTCTGAAAATAAAGTAAAAATGTTTTTGTTGAGTTTACATACTTTAAATTAACACATGCCCTCTCCAGGAATCGAACCAGGGCTATGACATAGTGTTGATCATAACCACTAGCCCAACAGGGAAGCATGGGGACGGTGAATGTTTTCTAATCGACCTGTTTAGCGATGTTACTACACAACTTCTGGAGCAGGTGGGACTTGAACCTGGGTCTTCCTGGCTCAGAAGAACCATATGGCGAAAGCAGAAGCTGCACTGTTAGATTTCACATGAATAATGCTGAGCCCAGTGTTCTAGTGAGTGTACATCTAGGGAAGTAACAAGGGGTTTATACTTTATTAAGAGGTAAGATTGAGTAAATTAAAGTGAAATGACAGGCAATAGATCAAAGCAGCAGTAAAGGTAATGATAGTTACTAAGAGTATGCCTGGAAGGGACAATGATCGTAAACTTGATTGTATGCTAGCTGTTAGGCCAGAGTTTTCAAAAACAGTTTAAAAGCAGGCTGATGGCTCTGTTTTGGCATAGCCATAGCATTTGCAATAAAGCAGACAAGTTGTTAGTTCGGGTAGAACTTTGTAAGACCTGATAGTTACAAGGAAACCAAAGCTACAACCTGAATAGTTAAGGGTATGTGACATTTAGGAAGAACATGCAGCTGAGAAAGAGCTGAAGGGTAGCTCTTAAAGAAGGTATCAGAGCTGCTGTGATAGATGACCTTCGTTCTAAAATTTAAAATGTAGAATCAGTTTAGGCAGAACTAAGAAACAGCAAGAGGGAGAAAACTTTAGTGGGACTTGTTTTTAGGACACTAAACAGCAGTGGAACTGTAAATCACAGTATGAAGTAGACAATTAAGAGCAGTATAGTAAACTTGGAGGATTTTAATCTATGTAGACTGGGTAAACATAACTGAAATTGTGTAGGTCAAGTTTTTGAAATGTATGTGGAGTCTTTTTTTTAAAAGAAAGCTATATGTTAAACCAATTAGGGAACTATTTTAGATCTCATAAGGAACAATGAATAAAGGCTAATTTTAATAGTCTTGTAAAGTAGCTTTAGGAAGGACTGACCTGTATTTTACATTAAGTTTGAAAATAATGTAGTTCAGTTAGAAACTTGAGCTTAAATCTAAGCAAAGGAAACCATGTAGGTTTGAGGGGCAAATTGACCATTATGGGTTTGGAAACTATGTTTAAAATGCATGATTTTAGATGGAGGCAATGGCTAACATTTAAAGTTTACAATAACAATGTATTCTTCTAATGTTCGGTCACCCAGCTTGGAGAGGGAAAGTGTTCTAACTGTGGTTAATGAAAGAAATCAAAGATTATATTAGTTAAAGTGAGGAGGCATTTGTGGTCTACAGATATGGTAATTTTGAGGGTCAGGAACATTTTAGAGGTCTACAAAAGTGGACTAAAAAGATTAAGAAAAGGAAATTGTAAACTAGCAAGAAACATACATTCTTCCGTAAAAACCTGATGCCTTAAAAGGAAAAATTATCAAAAACTAACGTGTGTATATTAGGAAATACATGAGGAAAATGTAAAATAGGGAATAAGGAAATGTCAAAACACATTCTGAACTGCCTTCCTGGAGGAAAATACAAAAAGCCTTGCTGTGATAATGACGCATCTAGGGACTAGTGCAAACAAAAGCGTTTTTTTTAAAAACCAAGAGAAATTAATGAAACAACATGGATAAATGCCTTAGACCTGATGATCTAAATTTGAGTGTTGAAAGAGGTGGCTATAGAGATAGTAGTTACACAGGTCATCTTTAAAAGTTTTACGAATTCTAGAATAGTTACTGCAGATTTGAATGTGGCAAATACGATCCCCACTATTTGAGAAATATGGGGTAATGAAAAAGGTGGACTATAGACTTGTTATCATCTGTAGGGACATGCTAGAATTTATAACAAAAGATGAGACCATAAGACACTTGAAAAGTAATTTTGCAGAATCAATGTGGATTTATGGGAAATTATGTTTAGCAAACCTGTTGGGAGTTTTTTTTTGAGGATGTAACTAGCAGTAGAAAATGGGAAAGTGATGGATGATAGTACATTTCTAGATTTTCAGTTTTTAATAAGGTCCCACATGAGATTGGTAAACAAAATTAGAGCATGAGACACAGAAGGGAATATACTGGTATAGATTATGTCTGTCATTCAGTTCTCAATGGACAGAAATCAGGAATGAATGAGTCATTTTCAGGTTCTGACCAATAATTCAAAGATTAGTGTTTGGACCCCCAGCTGCACACAAGATATCGATTTATGTAAATGCGAGTATTAAATGTAACATTGTAAAGTTTACAGATGACTCTCCGAAGTGAGTGAGAGATGTGGGATATAAGCATTTGCTGGCTAAGCCATAACTTATTGCCAGTCTTTGCTTTTGAACTGTATGGCATGCGAAGCCATTTCAGAGGGCAATTAAGAGTATGCCAGACTAGGTAAGGACAGTAGATTTTCTTGCCTAAGCTCACCAGTGAGCCAGTCAGGCTTTTATGGCGATTTAACAATGGTTACATGATTGATATTAGACTTCAGTGTCAGATTTTTATTGAATTCAAATTTCGTCTTCATGTTGGGATT